AGATAATAGATAGGGTAATGGTTATTCCTAGAATGGTATTGATAATGGGGTAATAGTAGTGATATATCGGTGAAGTGTAGGGGGGAGTATAGGAATAATCATCTAATGGGTTGACGGTGGCATTATTACCCAAACTGGGCAAGGACTACTCTGACTCTTTGCAGGCGTGGCTCGACGGTCTCCGCCTCCGTGTAGATGCCTGCGCAGAGGGCGTGGCCTCGGAGGTGCGGATTCGAGAGGCTCGCAAAGCTACAAAGGGTTCCGGTGCAGATCGGGGCTTATGCCCAGCTGATACTTGTAGCACAGTGCCTGGGTTCAAAAACGGGTTTAACGCCCGCTCCGGGTTGCTTCTCCATCTACAGAAAAGCCACGCAGTGTCCGCCATCAACAGGAATCAACGCAGCGGCTGGAGTGTCTCCTGCAGAAGACACGCCAAGATCTAGAGGCAAAGATCGATGCTGTCGGAGGCGCTCGCTGGCCATCACATGCCTCCAGCCACCCAGTTCCTTTGACTGTTGGAGGTGCCCTGGAGAAGCAGTTCCACGGAGTTCTTGCGAGCCAGAATGACAAGGGGCTCCATCTCGAGCTCATGGGAGCCATGCAGCTGGAGCTCCAGAAGAGACAGGACCGCTGCCTGCACAAGCCCGGCAGAGAAGCAAAAGACATCTTCCAGGATGCCGAGACATCCCTCCGGGACCTGCAATGCGAGATGGTCGAGATGCGCTCAAAGCTGCTGCGGAAGGACGGGATGACCCGCACCTTGCAGACCCAATGCTCGAGGTCCCCATTCCAAACGCCATCCTGTTTGAGGAGCACGCTTTGCTGGAAGCCTCGGGCTTCAGAGAGCCCAGCAAGGACAGCAAGGAGGTCGCTCGAGAGCCCAGCAAGGAGGAGCCCACAACCTGGCGCCCGGGGCTCACAGGCTCGGCGTCTCTCAGATTGGGGATGTTTGCTTCGGATGAGGAGGGTCACGGTTTCTGCGCTGCCTGTATCTCCCAATCCTGAGCCTCTGCGTCATAAAAGTAAAAGGCTGATGGGCATTCAGGTGAGGCGTGGCATTGACGAAGTGTAGGGGGCGGGCAATCGCGTGGGCAGCCCGCGGGAAGCTGTCCTTGAAGCCCAGCCCTAACAGGCACGCTTTTCTCCGAGCCAATGCTTTCTCGGGAGCCAGCGCCAAGCAATGGCACAGGAGCTTTGGGCCTTTTAGCTTTAACTTTATAGTGCTGCTGAAGAGGAGCGCACCTTGTTCACGACTGATGCGGAGTTCTGAGAGCCACCCAACCGGGGAAATCAACGTGCTTCTATCTAAATCATAGAGTCGCACCCACGACTTGCGGCGGCTGCGGCAGGACCTTCCCCGGAAACAGCCAGCCCATTGAGCGATCTCCGGGCATCCTCAACTCCGGCAATTCTTCGCCCAAAGAGACTCGGCGCTGAGACGAAGCATCTGGTGGCACGGCGGAAAGAACAAATCCGCAACTAAGGATGCCGCCACGCTTCCAGCAATGGCCAACTTGATTGCTTACGCTTTGGCGGCTTTGCTAACGACAACCTCCTAGTGCCGCCAAAGCTTGCGCAGTAGGAGTCCAGCCACCGCAGTGTGACGATGCCAAAAAATCCCCGAAGGATCTGGCAGCCGTGATCTGACGCCTTGACAGATAAGTGTGCAAAGTGCTCAGGTCGCGATCAACCTGCTTTCGAAAGCTCAAGCTTGAGCAGGCCCGTTGTTTGAATTGAGGCACAAAGCAGAGGCGAGGCTGTGCCAAGACCGCTTCTTGCCACAGCCATCTGGCTTAAGCCGCTGTCACAGTTTGCCAGAGCCTTCCAGCCAAGCTTCAACCAGGCGTAGCCGAAACCAACGTTGGAACTCGACCCAGAGCTCATGGCGCCGGGAGCACCTCCCTGGCTGGAGGCATCTTACCCGGGCAGCCCGGCTCCCAGTCGGTCACAGTGCCTTGCAGCCTGGTACAGGTCTGGGCCCGTCTGGGCTCTATCTAGTCAGGGCCCGATGAACCTTGGTCGTCGTGAGGGATGCTAAAGTCCCTTTGCTTGAGGCGTTCAGGGTGATGATAATCGTTGCTCCTCTTGATCTTCTGGCGATTGCTAGTGTAAGTCATGGCCAAAGAACCGTTAGTAGATTACGTTACCGTCGGAGGACCGTGGTGGTCTCTCCGTCGCTGCTCCCTTCGCGTCGGCGCATGCGGCGCCGGGCTACACCTGGAGGCCACAGAGCTGGGCCACCTGGCTACTTGCAGAGGCAGTTCGGTAACGGGCCATGTTTGCTAACCCCGGATACCGCCGGAGATTGGAATAGATCCCAGGCAATAGGAACAACGAGTTCATATTCGACTATGCCTCGGCTGTCGGCCGATCAAGGATCGTAGACTGCAGACCATCTTCAAGGGACAGTCAACTGAGCCAACGGTCATCGCGAACTTCGGCGTGAGGTGTAGCAACAGCCTGCTATGCAGCGCGCGGGTCATGAGATGGCTTGGTTGATACCTTCCTGTCAATACATCATTTGCATATGTGGCCGAAGTGGTGTATCAGTAAGCAGAACCAGTACTAGAAGGAAGCAGCAGAGGGAGACTTTTTGAGGCTATCTCGTGGAGGCCCTGGATGGCGAGCCTCCGCAGGATGAGTTCCTCAAAGCCGGAGCTATCATCATCTCCATCGCGGGCGCGCAGCTGCGACTGGGCCGACTTGGGGAAGCTTTAGTTAGGGTTTAGGGTCTAGGGCTGTTGCCTGAGACGAGAAAACCACAAGAAGCACCGAGACAGGGATACGCGAAGGGACTAACGACCCAGGGGTAAGCTCGTTTGCAGAAGATGCTGCGGTCACAGCCGTCGAGGCTTGGCCTCTCCGATGATGCTTTGGAAGAGACCTTTGGCTCCAACTTTGAGGATGGCGCGGACCTCCTCCTCGTGGATTCCGAGGATCCGAGGGCAACAAAAGAGGGCCCAAAACGGTTGCAATGCCTTCTTTGGGCGCGCGCTTTGAGCTCGGAGCCGGGCCAGGAGTTGCGGCGAGCAACCGTGGAGAGGGACTCCCAAGGCGCCGTCCTAATGCTCCGCATTAGGAGTCCAATCTGTTCTCACATAGCATGAAGGACAGTCGAATTGAGTGCTAAACTGCAGCATACAGCGCTATGGCTATAGCTTACTGCACTTCATATGCAGTGGACTAGTATAGATTAACTCTCTCCGGAAAACCCCCATGGGTTGAGGGTGTGGCAGAATCTACCGGCCGACTCGGTGAGGTGAGTGCCCTTGCAACGAAGCAGACGAAGACATGGAGGATGTCCCGCCAGACATGCAGGAGATCGTGTCGTCTGGGATCTACAATTATCGGATCTGTTCAAAATCCAATGGGTGCACTGCAGCCCCTCCTCAAAAAACGGACAGTCGTTGCATCCGCTGCTCTTTAAGGAGCAGTTATTGTAGTGTGCATTGAGTGAACATGCAAGTTTAACATGCCTTTTCTGCTTACGACCGTTTGGTGAACACTGTGCGTGCATTCCTGGCTATGAATGTAGACCCCGGGTTCACCAACTGGCTTTCTTTCAGGGCAACTAATTGTGATCCCCATGACCATCCCTGTCAAGGGAGCGGGGCTTATAGTCGACCCCAAGACCCTAAACCGTTCACCCGGATCACATTTGTGTGCCTGGGGCGTCCCGCTCCGTGTATTCTAATTCCTCTAGCTTTTTTGCATGCCAAGGTAGTCCTCACCTCCCCCCTTCATGTGGTCCTATGTATACGAGTGAGCCCGAATCCGCAAACTAGGCATACTCGTATATGCAGGATGTCGAGTAGGGAAAGCATGGGAGCACTCTTAGCAGGTTTGTACTTCCCAGCCTCCCAGGGTATGTGTCGTTTCGAGTTGCGTCTCAGCTTTCTTACAACCAGTTTCCCCTGCCGACTAACGACAACAAGCCTTGCCTGCGCAGAGCCGAAACCCTTCACCTGGGATGAAGTGAGCTCCCACTTGGCAGGTCGTATTCTTGTGTTGAAAGCCTTGCCTATCCGAAGTTGGTTTCTCACGTGTCGGAGTGTCAGTGCCTAAGCGCTTCACCCTGTCCCTCTTTGTCCGGTTACGCGAACCATAACTGATATCTGGCGGTGGGAGGAGCCCGCAGAGCTGCTGGAGCATGGCAGCGTGCTGAATCTCCGCCTATGCCCGGCCACGCAGCTCCGGGAGCGCGCTGGGGTTCCTTCAATAGAAGAACTGACAGCATTGCAACATCTAGTCCAGTGCATGGTTCTTCTAGACACAACTGCGGTCTCTAGTCACATATTCATTTGCTAGCATTCTTGTTCATCATATAAGTCATCATATTGATTGCTGTGTTACTTACGATATTATAGCTTCTGTCTATATTCGTGCCCCTCGTTGCGTGCATGCTGGCATTCGTGACAGCTCTCGGAAAACAGCCTCGACATGTGCCGAAGAGGACTTGGCCCCAGACATGCGTGCCTCACTGGATGACGATCTGCAAACCTTCGCCGCAAATCACGAGTTGCGAGTGGCTTGGAGTCTGAACTCTTTCCTGTACACCTTTGAAGATGCAGGAGGGCGTGATGAGCTTTTGGGGATCATGAAAAAGCCGTTATGGAATAGAGAGCATTCGGGATCAGGTGGAGCTGCACTGCCCAGAAGCCACCACAGCCTCTGCAAGGCGACCAGAGAGTGCTGTGCAGATCCGCCCAGCCTGCCCAATTTCTTGTGGGAGCTCGTTACGCCAGTGATGACTCGTGGCAAGCGATTGCTGCGGGCATCGCTTCTGCGTGCCTGAAGGCTGACACTTTGTGGTGTCCCAGAAGATGTGACCGCTTCCAGAGCGGAGGCGGAAGAGCTCATGAGGCAAGGCAGGGGAGGCTGTTCTTGGTATGCAACTCATCACCTGGCCTCGTCTGTCAGTTTTTTCACGGGAGGTTCTATGGCTTGCTTCCGCTGGCTTCAGAGGAGGTGAGCACCGTGGAGGCAACTCTTGCCATATTTGCTCCTCTCCGCAGAAGCCAATCCTGATGCAGCTCATGCAAGGTGGAGGGGCTGGTGATGAAGTCGCTGCCCGCTAGACACCGGCGTCGACGCAAGGCGCCAGAGACGGCGCGCGACGAGGAAAAGGCATGGGTTCACTGCGAATGCTTTTCTGCGTGTGCTTCGTGTGCCGTCCAGGCGAGCAAGGCTGCGGTGCTGGAGATTGCAGTCGAGGAGTTGTCGAATGTGCAGGATCCACATCCCAGCGTGGCGGATGCAGACGTGGCCCTGGAATTTGAAGAGGAGCGAAGGCAGTTCGAGTATTTGGACGCTTGGATGTTCGGAACGGTGTTAAAGTCCTTCCGCGCGTGACTAATTTTTTGATAGGCCTACTGTGGAGGGGCAGGCATAGCCGCAGAGCCTTGCTTCTCTGACAGTAACAAGGATCACACGGCGGATGTGATTCTCCACTCTTGGGGTCAGACACTGGAGGAAGCCTTTGCGCAATGCTGTGCTTCCCGGCAGCCAATAGGCATCGTTACAGTCAGGCATGCCACACCGTTGCTGTGATCGTGCTGTCTCTCTTGCTCGAAACTCCGTGCTTCTTTCCGCACCTCTGGACAGTCCGGTAGCAGCGTTCAAGCCTCAGCATCAGCATCTGTCTCAAACTTGCGCGCTGCTAGTGTTCAACTCGTTATCAAGGCTTTGTCGAGTTCCATCTGGAAGGTACTTGCAGCAGGAAGTTTAGGATGAGCCAATGTCGAAGCAAAGGTTCTAGGGACAGAGCTGCCACAGTGGTTTTAATTGCTCAGTGCGCAGACGCCTGTCGAAGCCATCTCAGGTTGCTTTCTTTGCATATCTGACAGATCTCGACACCGTCAGCTTCACGACATCTGTAGAAGTCGAGGCGTCGGGGCACGACATGACGGATCTCTTGTACCACCTCTTGGACGAGTCCCTTGGCTCGGGCTTGCCTTATGTTGGTGCCGCTCTCCAAAGAATGCTAACTGTAGAAGTCGGGGTCCTCGTGTGACGAGTCCCTTCATGCTGGACGGCACCCGGTGTCTTTCTCGTGTCAAAAGGCTCAGGCTTGCAGATCTGACGAGTATGATGATAGTGGTTCGCGGGCCCCGGGAGAGCATGCACGGTGAGCTCCTTTCGCTGTGATTTGGGATAGTGGTCGTGGGGTAGCATGATGTCTGGGGGATACGACGACATCATCTCGGGGGCGGTCTCTTGTGCCTTTGATTTCTTACCTAGCAGGCCTTGATCCAGGCATCATCCCGCTTCGGCTGGATCGGCCGAGGTGGCGGATCAGCAAGACCCCACGATGGTGTCAGGATTGAGCTAGCTGTAGCGAAGCCACGCGAAAGGTTCCTCTTCAGCTTCAGCACCGAACTGGTGGTCTGCCGGCGGATAGAGCTACTCGAGCTTGACACGGCGAGCCTGCGAGCGAAGGCTAGAGGTCATGGGGAGCCGCTTGTGGCAGCACCTTATGCCCTTGAGCGATTCCGACCTGTGCACATAGGACTTAGCATCTCTAGACGCCAACATTGTCGAAGCAAGACTTTCGACACAGGCTGTCGCGACTGGTGTTAGCTGTCAGAACGAGGACGAGACGAGACGAAGACGAACACAAACCCTCCAAACCGGACCAGAGTCTAAGCTGGTCCCAAGCACGGGAGCAGAAGAAGGTTGGCAGAGAGCAAGAGCGAATGATTGCTGTAGCCACTCAGGGAGAACTTGGTTCCGGGTTTGGGTATGTAGATGGACACTAGCAAAAGCTGCTCAGGAAGTTCAACCTCAAGAAGCATCCACAGGGGACGGAGATCAAGGCCCGGAGCAAAGTGAAGCCCACTACCATGTTTGTTCACGGCACTTTCCCTAGAGGCGATTACCATGCACCAGATGAAGGTGCTGACGCCCACCGAGGTCAGCACCGAGGTAGGCACTCGGCCTCGAGCGACCCGGCTGGTCCAAGAAAGAAACTCATAAACTGCACAAGCTCCACCATTTTTCTTGCAACAGTTGGGTTTTCGCTTTACATCGCGGGCTCGCAGGTCGATTGCCCGCTTGATGGGGGTACGATGAAGCCTGGCTTCCCCTACGAATGCTACGTGCTGGTGGACATCTAAAACTGAGACCGCCTCCATCGAAATTCTCTGGTGCTCACATGCCAAGCCCATCGAGCCACAATCAAACCTCTTCGACAAGGAGCAGGCGCCATGGCGCGGTGCACAGTCGCCGGTCGGCGTGGCACCACAGGGCACCCGAAGGGCCGGCAAGACGTGCTGAAATGTGCTGTGCCAAGAAGCGGCTAGAAAAGAACCAGCACGAGTCGCCACGTGCCGTTCATGACTTTTATCCCTCTGGATTCTTGCATCTCTCAGCAGCTTTCTTTACAGTCTTCGCACCGCACCGGAGTAGACATGTCCTGTGCAGCACTGTAGACGCTGCAGGCTCTGACTTTAAAAAGTCGTTTTCCCAGACCTCAGACCGGCCCTAGGCCCCAAGACCCTCTTGTCAAAGCCCTTCGAGGCCACTGCATGAAGGCTCCTGTGATGGATGATCCGCTATGTCGCGTTTCAGCCCAGTGCCGTGCCTCCTCCGGTGGTGGCCTTCCTGGCGCCCTCGGCCTGGGCCGGGGCAGAGGCGTCGCCTGCATCGTCTGCATCGCCAGAAGACAGGCCGGGCCGGAGGCGAAGCGTTTCAACGGCGCGTCGCCGCCGAGCGCCGCGCGCGGCTTGGCGAGGCGTGAGCTTGGCAAGGGCGAGCACGAGCCTCGCCTTCCGCTCGCGAACTCGACGTGCCAGGCTCTTTCAGCCTTGCAAAGCTTGCAATGCCCAGCTCTGCAGACAGCGTTCGTGCTTGTGCGAGTGTCGAGATGAGCTTCTGCCAGGAGCAGAGGCCACGGCCGACAGAGGTTGAGACGGAGGCGTTTGTTCCGTCTCGTCTCCCCGTAGCCGGCCGTAGCCGTACCCATCGAAACTGACACTTGTGGAGGATCAGCCGCCGTCACCCTCACCTCAAGCCACGGAGGTCTCGGAACCTGGCCAGGCAGCCAGGACGCCTCCTCAATGCAATGACTGGACCATGTCAAGCTTTGTGGAAGGCATCCCCGCCTTCACCGGAAAGGCCTCGGCTCGGTCCCACTCCCGGCGAGAGAAGAGTCCGGTGGCGCATCACAGCCTGGCAAATGAGGCTTCTCGGAGTTCTGGCAGCCGGCCGTGCGGCAGCAGCTCGTATTTGATCCTCCCCTGTTGACTTGCGGGCCTTGCGGGTGAGCAGTCCTGCCTCGTCCTACTGCTTTTGTAGGTTCTACGAGACCTACCTCCGAAACCGCTTGGCCGCCATCCTGCGAGCGCTGCTGCCTCTGGAAGTGGGACATTGGCGTCAGCTGCTGGACTTCGGCGCAGGCCTGCGACAGTCCGTGCGAAAGCTGTTTTTGTCTTTGGAGACGGTGAGGCTTCCGGACCTTCGTCTTCGATGCCAGCTGCACCGATCCAATTCCACGCACCCTCCCATGGGAGCTCTTGCAGTATGTCTGGAAGCTTCGGTTGCAGTGGCCACATGTGTGCCCGGAGCGTCGAAGAGTGGCCATGGCGAGGCTGGTCATCTTCATGGCCTCCAGCCCGCCATCGGACGTGGGCAAAGCAGAGTCCATGCCGCTCTTGTGCTCCCAAAAATTTCCAAGATCTACTACTGTAGTAGGAGGCACCTTGCGATATTGCGAGTGGGAGGTATGTTCAGCTTGCGCTCTGCATGCGGGCGTTGTGCCGGCCTGCACATGCGACCAGCGACTCGGATGAGCGAATGGCCCTCAAAGTTCCATGCTGCTGCTGCTGCTGCTGCTGCTGCTGCTGAAACGTTGCGGTTACTGACCCTTGAGCGATGGGGACGGCTGCTACTGCTAATGCTATGGCTGCTGCTACCATGGCTGCGGCTGCGGCTGCTGCTGCTCCTCCTACTGCTGCTACTGCAGCCCCTCCTACTACTACTACTACTACTACTACTACTACTGCTACTGCTACTACTACTACTACTACTACGACTACGACTACGACGACGACGACGACGACGACTACTGCTATTATAATTGCTACTGCTGCTACTACTCTTCTTTTGGGTCGGGTATCTGTTGGTGAGCCTTCAAATACAGGGTTTCTCTTTCGATCTGGGGTTATGTTGCGCCGCTGCGTTGGTATCGCAGTCGCCTAGTTGCCCTGATTCCTGATCAAAGTCGTAGTGCCAAGCTATTTGAACCCTGGCAACGCGTGTAGATGAGATCCTTCGGTCATAGCAGGTGTGGTGTCGGGTCATCTGTTGGGGTATGCCTGGTGGTTGGTCTGTGATTGGAAGCATCTCCATTTTGTTGCCTCGTGTCCTAGTTGGTTTACTCGCCTCTGATCCCCGTGCTCCGCCATGACTCGCAATAGGGATTGAGGACTTTTCCTTGGGAGAGGCTCTGACTTGGCTGTTGGCTATTGGGATTGTTTCTTTGGTTTCAGATGTCGACATCTCTCTGAATCCGATTGCCATTCAGGACCCCGCAGTGCTGTCGATGGCGTGCCAAGCTACCCCGTGCTACACGACTACTACGACGACGACTACTACTAAAACTGCTGCCGTTACTACTGCCGTTACTTCTGCCGCCACCACCGCCACCGCCACCGCCACTGCCACTGCCACTGCCACCACCAATACAAATGGCGCTACCGCCACTCCTGCTGCTGATGCTGATTGTTAGCAAACTCACAGAAGGCAAGCCGCCAGCAGCCGGCCCACCACCTGTGGTGCAGTTTCTGGTGCGCCTCCTAGGCCCGGCGGAGGGCGTCAAGCAATAACAGCTCAACAGTGTCTCAACCATTGGCCTCTGAAGACAGAAAGACACTTATGGTTTGAGGGCTGAAGCGTAATCGCGAGGTGTTCTGGGTTCTGGTAGTACCCATGAGGCTGCCCGTCTGCGGCCTCTTTGCTCTGTGCGACTGCCAAAGCTCATTATGTGGGAGCACCGAGCATGCAAAGTTGGGAGGCAGGGGGTACAGGACTTTGCGTTCCTAGCTGGAGCCTCAGCATGTCATCCCCTTGGCCCTGGCCTGTGCAGGCCTGGACAGCTTCTCGGCAGCATCCCACCGCTGTTGCGTGCATGCCTTCTTGAGAGTGAAAGTTAGAGTCGTGCTCCTGGACGCTGCGCATCAGATCTTGCTATCGCTTGCTACCGGTTGAAACTCTACACGTGAGGTCGCCTTTGAAACAGCGTGGCGGTCCGAAGGCCTTGGTGTCCTCCGGTCTTGCAAGGCGCTGGCGAAGCCACACGGGTCAATAGAAGCATCGCGACGACGTGCATAATACCAAAGGGCGACGCCCTAAGCCCCAAGCAGTCCAAGCGGTTGCAGGCCCTCTTGGCCGAGCTTTATCCCGGCGAGGGACGCAGTGGTGCGAATAGTGCTCCAGGGCTGATGCTGTGCTCGCAGTCAGGAGGGGAGTCAGGAAATTCCGACTAGCGAATCATTCGAACTTTGAGAGTATTTTGGGAACCAGAAATACGTCTGCTCAAAGACAGGGGAGGTTAGTTCTGGCCCTGTACACTGTTCAAGATATTTCGAGCCGCACCTGTGCAGCCATGGCTCCCTGGAAGTTGAACCTCCTTGAATTGCTGGGGTGGCTACACGCCCGGCATCAGTTTCGGGCACATGGGCATCGCGAAGGTAGGATTGGAGACAGACAAGTGTGGTCTGAACTTAGGTTGGACGAACACCTACCAGCCTGGTTCAAGGCACTTCTTGGATTACACCGTCACGACAAATACGGGGATCATCATTGCCTGTAATGGCGGGGCGTTCGGCTTCAACGCGGATGGTGGACTCACGCCGCCACGACCACGACATTCTGAAATGGCACCGTCTTGATGCGCGGCTACTTCGAAATCATGCGGATCCGTGAAGGACGCAGGCATTTGAGGGAGAAAGTCTCAAGTTCATCACTTCCGAAGTTGAAGAACGAATCGTTCTGTCTGTGGCTTCCATCTTGAATGTCGGTAGTGGCGCCGTTCACATCAACGTGACCTGCGTAACTGACGCCGAGACTATGGATGATATGGTGGGAGTCTTCTATGCTGCTTCGCTTGCGCTCCCAAACCCCGGAGGAGGCAGACGGTTACTAACTTTGTGCAGGGAAATTTGACTTCCATCACGTCGCAGGAGATGCAAGATGTCGTGAACACAATGCTGGCAAGCACTGGTGCGGTGCTCCGCATTGGCAAGCTACGGTCGATGACTTTGTCCGTGAGCCGTGTGGAAGAGATTCCCACCAAGCTTGACATCCGTTTGTCCCCGGACCCAGAGGACCTCCCCACAGACGGTTCCAGCATCATGTCGTACGTCGGCTTGATTGCCTGAATCTTCGTGATCATGGGCTCGTCTGTCTTTCTGTGGTGCTTCAACGAATCGCACGGAGGAGCTGAACAAGGCCGTGCACGACCCCACGAAGATTGACAGCAGCGAGACTAAGGTGGTCATCGACGAGCCCACCACTGAACCCATCACTCCGGAAAGTGGAGCGCCGGTCATGTTCAAACATGAGCCCACTGAACCCGAAGGCTTGCAGGCGGCTGTCGAGCTGGACCTAAATGCATGGCCTCTGCGAGTACATGCGATAGCAGGGACTTTCTCCGCAGCTAAATGCATGTCCAAAGGTGAATGCTGCATTGAATTCTGCACCCGCCTTCTGCGAGTGGCAAAAACAGCTGTCATGATGACTTCAGCGGAGAGAGGGCTCGGGGTACCGGAAGATCCTTGTGACATATGTTGACTGCATCCAAGGATCGGGGCTCCTATGCTGCTTGCAGCCTCTGTGCTGCAGCTCTTCACGCAGATGTTTTCAGGCCAGCGGCTGACGCAACGTGTGTCCGGCCAGCAATCGGAACAGACATCCACTCATTGTCATTGTTGGTAGTAGCAGCAGTTGCCTGGATCTCGAGAGTGCGGATGTCATCTTTCCGATACTCCGAAAGCCACAATGATTGTGAACAGAGCAATAAAAGCGGCAGCTACAACAGCAGCAGCAGAAAGAGCACAAATCGGTCGCAGCAGTGCAGTTTGGGGCCGCGCCGCGCAGGCCTATCTTTGGGGCAAAGTGAGACCAGAATCCGGTCCTCCCCATCGTCCAGCAGCAAAGCGAAAAGGCCCGGCTGCTGCTGCTGCTGCTGCTGCTGCTGCCTTTGCTCTTGGTCTCGTCACGGTCGGTTGTCGCGCGGTGGCGGCGGTCGTCGTCGTCGTCGTCGTCGCCGTCATCTTTCTCTTGATCGTGCAGTTGCTGTTGCCACTGCTGTTGGCGGCCTTGCGCTTGAAAGCCATTCCAAGCGGGGCTCTGCGTCAGAACATGGGCTTCGTGTCTTGAGCAACACGGGCGCGAGGTCGGAAACTCCGACGCAGATGCCATCGATGTACACTCCTACGACGGAGTCAGGCCACCAATCTCAGAAAAGGGGGCTTTGAAGAGCTGCCGCCAAGAACCAAGCACTTCAGGGACTAGCTGTGGTATGAGCGTGTTTCCACACTTCTGTCTTGGCAGTGCAGAAACTTTCGGCTTCAATTCGTTCACTGCCCCGTTGAAGTTCCAAGGCGAATTGGATCCATGCGACAACCTCCAACCTTCCCTGGCCGCGATGATTTTGCAGTGCTCCTGCTCTGCTTCATGGCGGCAGAGTATGAATCCAGCCATTCTTGTTTGTTCGGGTCTTCTTGGTCGGGTTATGGGACATAGCGAAGCAGGTCTCGACTGGCTTTGACAGAATCTGGCGGCCCTGTATGGCCCCATCTCCAGCCAAGAAGTAGCTAGTTAAGCATTCCCGGCAGGACTGCAGGTCACTTGTTAACTTGTTCGTTTTGCTGGTGGGGATGAATGCCTCAGATAACTCAACTAAATCACTCAACCTAGCCAGGCGGGAGGGAAAACAAAATCACTCAAGCAAATCTGTATCAGCTGATTCCGATTCTGAACATCAGGATCAAGGTCAACATTTTGGTAGTCAACCTATGTGCTTATCGTATATGTGGTGGACCCGCGGAAGACCTGGGTTGTTGTGTGACTGTAATGATGAAAATACTTGTGCTCAGTTTGCTGTCTTCCGAAGTGAGCAAGGTGCGGTCAACCAGTGCTGCTGTGGCTCCAGCAGATCGCTTCCTGCTGTGCCTGGCTGACCTTGTGGAGATGTGCATTGAAGAAGTGACCAGGCTATAATTAGACCGAAAAGTCTTTCGGGAAGCTTTGAGTGCTCGTATTTAAGCCTGCTTCGGTGCAGTGTGTAAGCACGATGATTTGGTTGTCGCTGCCATGTTGGCCCCAAGAACCACTGAAATCAGGAGGTCTGCCCTCGGATCAGAGCAAAATTGATACTTCAGTGCTTTTCGGGAGGGCAGTGTTGCTGTAGCCTGCCACTTTTGATGAGTGAGTGGCCACTGAGGCAGACGGCGGCATGCCCGCGTATTCAGATGCACCCCCGGAGCCGGTAGACATCCGGAGTCTCTCGCGCTTGGCGCGCGTCCTCCTGCAGGCTGCAGATAGATGCAGTTCCTGTGGCGGACGGACCCAGAAAAAACCCAACGCATGGACTCGAGTGTCTGGTAGGCCTTCTTCATGGACCCTGCCCTCCTGGCAGCGGCAGGTCCAGGCCAGGTCATGAAGCTCCGATACTCGCCAGAAGCGCGGCTGCCGGGCAGGCTCAGATGCTTTGGCGGCGGGGGCGTTCTCTGGACCATCCGACCCGGACGAGAAGCTTGTCCAAAAGTGGACAGTTTACGGACGTTTAGGGGGTTGCTGCTCCAAACAAGGATCTGTTGGCCGTGTCTTAACTTGTCAGTGGGCTACAGAATCATGGGTCTGTTTCAGCTTTATATGAACCACCAAGGTTTGTTCCGATCTCGGGTTCGGGCCCGCTGCGGAGGCGCACGGTTTCTTGACTCTTGCACGCATCCTCCAAGTCTTTCGGCCAAATACTTCCATCGAGTCGTTGCAGATTCATTTCACAACGACCCAAGCAAAGACAACACCCACGTGGTCCGGTAACATCCAAAGGCCAACTAAAGCCACGACGAGGTGGGATTAAAGGATCGGCTCGACTTGTCTTTTTCGGGCTCTGGCCAGTCACTCGCGCGACATCAGCAATGCGGCCGGATGGAACCATGTCAGTGATTGCGCAGTTTGTGGCTGGCACAAATTCCAATGTCAAGAATGAACACGGGGCGGTAGAGTTGAGTCATGTCATGCATCTCCCAAATCCGGCAGGTACTCGAGTTGCGCACACATTCGCAACTTCCGCGACGATCAGTCGACACGCAAACCCAAGAGCGGCTGAACCTTTCGACTGTCCCTATGCCGTACAGATGATCACCACTGTGTAGATGTGCGGCAGCCAACACATAAGGGGGATTCGAAAGACAGACGATCCATCTCATTCCGGCTGAAGATGCGACGCACTGCATTTCTGTCTAAGCTGTGGAGTGAACTGGACTCGCACCTTTCGATGATTTAGAAACAGCATGACCCAGCTGTGCCTGTACGTGCAAAAACAGCTTCTGGCACGAGACTGACACCATGATGCGACAGTTTTGTCACCACGCCGCCCTCAACCCTCTTTCATCACGACCTCCTTCGCGGGCGTCTACGCTCGTTTAGAACTCTGCAGTTTCGCAACCTGTGTGCGAGAGCATTTTGCATGCTCGAAGAGCTGGCGGTCTCACCACACAGCGACTGCTGGCTTTGCAGCGCCAAGTAGCTTGCAGGAGCCTCGCGTTCATGGAGCAGTCCCCGCTGTTGCAGCCTTCTCAGAGATTCTCTGGACTTGCAGTCTTTGCCCGGATTCCTTGAGAACGACAGAGGCAAGTGGTTCAGCGACGGCTCTGCTCCGCGCACTTCGAGGCCGTTTCTGCCGGGCACGGCCCGTTGTCGCCGTCGCTCCAACATGTTCAGGATGTCGAAGGCTCCACCGAGCAGCTCACGACGCCTGGCTGAAACTGAGACTCGTGTTCCGTGCCCAGTAACTGGTCAAACGCATGCAGATGTTCGCCAAGGCACTTCGCACTCCGAGCTCTGAGAGTGCTGTGGTTTGACCTGCGCAGGCTTGCATGATTTGCGTGTAAACCTGTCTTTCCGACATCTTCAAAGAACACAGCCCCTCGTGCGAAGAAGGCGAGTAAAAGCTGATCGCTTGGCAGGTCGACATGCACGTTGAAGCGCATCCCATGTGATCCCCAGGAAGGCACCACGCCGGGGCCTGGGCTGCCCGCAATGCTTCAAGACAAATTGCACAGTTTCTGGGTCCTGCATGCGCAGCCTCCAGTGCCTCGAGTGTCTGTCGTTTCGGCTGTAGCCCTGATTCTCTCAAGGCTGTTGTGCCTCCTCATGAAGCCACTGAAGCTACAGCTCTGCTGTGACTGTGACGCGGAGCTGGCCACTTTTCCCTATGTGCGTCTGGCTTGTGGTGCGCAGGCAAGGTGACCCGTTGTGAAATCACAACGGTGGAACAATCACCCTGTGAAGGTCACTGTCAAGGGCGTCGTCATCTCCATCGAAGTGGTTGCAAGCACAACTGGCATGCAGCTGCGTGGGGTGGACGGTCTCAATGTGGTTGTGCCAGAGCTGGAGGTGAAGCTAAGCCACACGGATGCAACCGGAGGGACTTCTATTGAAGCCGATTCATTGAGACTTCTGTACGGAAGTCGGATTTTCGGCCTTTGACTCATCTCCCTGCGTCCCTGTATCTCTATTGCCATGGCAGCGGTTGCGGCCAGTGCGAAAGTCGAGCCTTGGGGGACACCCGGCATCTGCATAGATCCTAGTTAATTTTGCTTGACCCGGGAGTAGAGCATGCCGGGCATCCAAGGTGATGCGCCGCTGCTGTCCAGGCCTAGCTAAAAAAAATAAACCAGCGAGACGGAGACAAAGGTCTCCATTGTGTGCCTGCGAGAGATAGCACAAGTTTAAGGCATGCCAACGAGGGTAGTGTGCACTGTTGTTGGTGCCATGATTCGTGTTGTTCTTACTGCTGTTTATGTGCAAACAATCAGCAGAGACTTCGCTTCCAACAGGATCGCAGTCTCGGCAGTGCTTGCCATATTTCAGACCACGCTGCAGGACGGTAAGAGGCATTGACCATTTCGGTAGTGTTTGGGCGCCCATCCACGAGTTCTCAGCCCTCGCCATCAGCTTCCAATTCCGGGTTTGAAAAACTTCTTCTTCTGCTGGAGTTCTGGGATTTCTCATTTCAGTTGCAGAAGCTGAAGGCTGATTAGGTTTGAACGGGATCGAGGAGAATGCCAGAGAATTGAGGGCTAGGCCTAATCATCTAATTATTCACTTGTGTGCTTCGCAGCTTTGCTCTCAGCGTGAAGGGTGTGCAATCATGGCAAAGCAGGAACGGTTGCAGCAGCTGGATAGTTTGGTCGAGCGCCTTCGACGCAGCCCGGCATTGTTGCCAGGAGAAGCTTCCGTTATTCAGAAGGAATTGGTTAGCTTGGCAAAGCGGTGTTGGGGAGAGGATGAGGAAGACGACGAAGAGAACGAAGAGAACGACGCAGAGATGCGCAGTTTCGATCGGCTAGAAGAGGCTTTGTTGAAGCTCCCAGAAGCCAAGCAGCAGGCAATTGTGGCTGCTTTCCGGCCTCTTCGTGCTGGCGTTTCCCGACGGCTTTCGGAGTGGACGAACGCCCTCAATGACTGGCTCAGCGACGCGGGGAACCAGGGTGGGTCACAGGCGCAACATCTCGGAGATCTCCTGCGGGAAGTCGACAGCTCCCCGCAGTCCAGATGGTACCGGCAGTGTCCCAAGCCTCGTGTGAAGGCGAAGTTTCTGATGGCCATTGCCAGCTTGGCACGTGCTTTGATCCGTGGTAGTCCGTTACTGAAGCCGTTGGTCGCTTCTCATCCAGCCGTTCTGTCGCTGGCCAAGAAGATTGTCAGCAGACTCTTTGTGCTCCGGGAGCCTGGCTATGGGGATACTTTGGAGAGGCCGGCCAAACACTCTGTGAGAGTGCGCGGCGTTCTAAGCTTGATTTCTCCATTGCTAGACTCCTAGACTCTGCTAGACATGTGTGTCTCTGTGGTTCAGGTGGCACGAGGGCAGGTTGGCGGTCTACAATGCGACCATCTCTCTGGCGGCACAAAGGGCGGCAGAGAAGCTGAAGGATGACCTGCAGGTGTCCCTGGTGTCAGCAGTGAAGCGCTCGGCCAACCCGTCTGCAGAGGATGGCAAGGCCAAGGCATCCCTGCAGCTACAGCTGAGAGACTGGCCGATGTCGGGGTGCCCTTTGGCACGTGCTCTGCTGGAATTCCTAAAGTCACGGGCAGCCGAACTGGGAGATCTAGGACGGCCCAGTTTGCGGGAGTGCCCACCACATTCACTGCAGCCCGAAACCCTGCGGCAATTGCTCTCACGCCTGGATGCGTTCGAGATCGGCGGTGCAGATGGGATTGTGCGTCTTCGCTTCGAGGCAGTGGCTGCCTTGGCCTTCAAGGCCGTGGGGACCAAGCCGAAGGCAGGCTCTGTTGTCCCTCCCACGACCAAGGCCCAGATGTCTCAGATGGCTCAGATGGGCAAACCGAAGCTCGATGGCTCTCTTCCGGACATGGCAGACCTCAAGATTGATTATTCGGATGCCAACTTCATGATGCGACTCATCAAGCGCGGCCTGCGTTCTGGCGATGAGGAGTGGCGGCAAGCTTGGGCACAGTTTTGCTGGAAGAAGAATCTGCGGACCAAGCTGTCCGTCAGCAAGAAGATCAGCCCTCCAAAAGAGGCCTTGGCTGCGTTTTTGGAAGCCAACCTCCCAAAGCTCCGGTCCTCTTTAACCTGGGAGAAGCCGGGATCCCAAACCGCCTCCCGATCGCGCTCCGACCTGGAGCGCCGTCGAAGGCGGGATCGGGAGCGGGAGCCCGCTCCCCGGGAGCCCCCGCTCTCGGAGTCCTGGTCGAGTTCCTTCGAGTCGGAGTCCGAACGCTCCGAGCGCTCCCGGCGCCGCAAGAAGCGGCGGAAGGAGAAGAAGGGTTTATTGGGCTATGCTGATTTCTTTAACAAGTCCAAGCACATGACCCCGGAGGTGATGATGATGAGAGCCCAAATGATGGGATTTTCTATGGTCATGGACAACCCCTTGGCGATGATGGGCATGAGGCCTCCGATGATGACGCCCTCCATGAACCCCATGTTGCCACGACCCGAGGCACCGGGGCGTCCTTATGCCGGCCATGTGGCACCTCCACCGGCTCCGCCCGCTCCACCGGCTCCGCTCGCTCCGCCCACAGCTCTGCCGGCTCCCAGTCCGCCCGGACCGCCTCCTCCCGCTCCGGTGTCCTCCAAGCCCCCTCTGCCCAAATCGGCTGTGGCTGCTGCGCGCAAGCAACAGGAGTCGACCATCGACATGGACGATCTATAACGCAACCTCCGGGCTTGCATGTCGGACATTGGTGCGTCTTGACAGTGCTTGATGGCGCCTGTGCCTTGCATGGCGGGGCCTTTGTGCGTGGGCTTTGAAGCCGATTACTATATGAGTCGTCCAGGCTGCAGAGGCATGCATCACATAGGGAAAGTGTTTGCTTTCAGGCTGGGCCGAAGATTTCAGGTTTCACCGGCAGCAAGAAATGCCTGTCCAGCCAGTACACGTACGTTCCTGACATGCTCATTCGCGTGGTGTGTCTGCGAAGCTACAAAACAGGCTCAGGCCAAGATGCCACCCTGCTTGCAATTCCTCAGGAACCCTCCGGTGCACACTTTCTCGCATCAGCAGCTCCTGCACCTAACCTCCTGCTCCTCCATTTGAGTTTCTTTTTGCCGTGCGCTTGAGCTTCCTCAGGAGCACTTGCAGCGGCAGCTGCAGAGAATCCTCGGACGCCTTCTAGAGCGGGAGCTGCTGAGGTCCTCTGCATTGCCAAGTCTTTCCGGAATAGACCATGGGATAGGTATGGGCAAATACATACACACGGATTTGTGTACGCGCACAATACGTGGAGAAACTCTGAATGAATGACCGGACTAAACGGCGAAACTGTTGAAGCAACAGGATACGACACAATAGTAAACATACACGTTCAGGTTGCCTTGTGTTGCATCATCTCGTTGCATGCTGTCGCGGTGTAATGTTCTGATTTAGTCGAATTCAAATCGTGGTGGACTGCCTCGCCTTATGCTATTCGTTTATCTGCTTATCGATCTGTCCATTGCATGTCTCCGTGTATTAAGTATGCATCTATCTGGGTATGGCTTTGTCTTGCCGCAAGATCTACATGGAACACGCACGCATGCATGCATGCATGCATGCATGCATGCATGCATGCATGCATGCATGCATGCATGCATGCACAGACACACTTGCACATCTGCACATACACACATACACACATCTATGCATCCATGCACGTGTGGCGGAGGCATGCATGCAAGCATGCATACATAT